AGCAACGGATCCTGTATATTTTCCTCACATTGTGCACACCTCTAAGCTCCCGTAAGCTACCACGTCACACTTTCTTCAGAATGGAAAATAACGTCTTGCACTTAACCCTAACAGTCTCACGTTGCACATCCTCTAAAGCTCCCGTAAGCTACACGCTCTTTCTCAGAGGAAAAATACTAACGTTCACAGTTGCACACCTCTAAGCTCCCGTAGCTACCACGCCACTTTCTAATGGAAAAATCATCTCACGTTGCACAACCTCTAAGCGTCCCGTAAGCTACCAACAGGCAACTTTCTAAAATGGGAAAAGTCAGACGTCTCACTGTTGCATCAACTCTAAATCACCGTACAGCTAACACGCCACCTTTCTCAGATGGAAAAATCACATTCACGATTAGCACACCTCTAAAGGCTCCCGTACAGGCACCAACAACACTTATCTAAAAATGAAAAGGTCGAACGGTCTCCACGTTGCACACCTTCTTAAAGGTCCAGTAAAGCTACCACAGCACTATTCTCAGCATGGAGAAAATCCTACATCTTCATTGTGCACACCTCTAAATTACTCCGTTAAGCTACCACGCCACTTTCTTAGACGGAAAAATCTAATGACACTACCTTCAGCCAAACTTCAACAATATTACTATGCCGGCCCATCTTTTAAAAGTCAGCTCGCCCGGTATATCTATTACACCTCCGGTGTCCTTTATATATATAGATTACTATGGAATTACACTAGTAGGTTGTTGCATGGCCATGGTCTTCTGGAGATGTTCAATCGTTCAATCCTCAAATGTGCGTGACTGATCCTAGATAGAGGGATCCTCAACCCTACTGCGGGGAAAACTAGCTAATGCACTGGTACTAGCAGGAAAGCACCGCAACACAAAAAGGCAAGAAATCCGTCAGGTTCCCCATCATGTAAACAATAGAACGAACCAAGAGAGGTATCAAAGCAGCTAGCTAGCTATTATCAACTGCGACTCTGTTCATGCAGGGCAGTCAGGAAAGTAAGGGAGATGTCATTGGGTGCTGTTTGCTCCAATGGTTCCACAGTCGCAGCCACAACCGCACAAAATGTCTGTGCAGTCAAAGGACAAGCCATAGCTGCCTTCACACTGAAACAAGATATTGCTGGTGCAAGTTCCATTGGTTTGGCAAAGTGAATCTGGTAGGCTTCCAGACAAAAGAGGGTTGTCTTGTAGTGTCAATGTGTGGATGGATTGCTGCAGTGCTGACAGCTCTTGAGGTACAATTCCAGACAAGGAATTGTTTGCCATTTCCAGCCAGCTGAGTGAGGTAAGGAGACCAAACTCACTGGGAATCTGGCCTATGAATCTGTTGTTTTGGAACTGTAGATTTTGCAGGGAGAGTATGCTGGAGAGCTCTGTTGGCAGAGTCCCTGTAAGCTGATTGCTATGGAAAGTGAGTCCCAAGGTAAGTGATGTCAGCTTTCCAAACTCGCTTGGGAGGGTCCCTGTTAACTGGTTGTTGTGGACGCTGACTGCAGTAGATGATGTCAATTCCCCTAGCTGGCTTGGTAGTGATCCGGTTAGATTGTTTTCCAAGAGGGAAAGAACTGATAGATTCTGGTGAAGCAACCCTAGCTCTGTGGGGATCTGTGGTGCATAAATGTAGAAAGAAAGACATCAGTGCATAAGTGGGTGAATGTGCATATAGCATCCATGGTGTAAATTTGCTTGTACTCACAGTACCATTAATGCCATTTCGAGGAACGAAGAGCCACTCCAGAGAGTCCATTTGGCCCAGCTCAGAAGGAAGTGTCCCTTATGGAAAATGGAAACAGAAAAGCTGAGCATAAAGTGATTCTCTTCAACAAGAAAGCAGAACTCTAGCTAGGAGGGAATGAGATGAAGCTTACCTCTGAGACCACAGTCCTCCAGGTTCAGCACCTTCAAATTGGAGAATTGACCAATTTCTGTAGGAAGAATACCTTCCAATTGTGGATTCTGTGATAGACCTAGAAACCCTTCCAGTTTGGTCAGAAGCCATAGTTCACTTGGAATGGAACCCTCGAGGCCATTTGATACGAGTCCAAGGACTCGTAAACTTGTTGCCATGCCTATTTCAGATGGTATTGTACCGGCTTTTTGAAAGGAGAAGGCAAGATCCATCCCCTCCAGATTGGTCAAGAGCCCAATTTGACTTGAGATCCCCCCCTCCAGCTCATTGAATACAGCAGAGAAGGTTTGTAGAGAGGTCAGCAAGTACAACTCATGGGGTAGGGAACCAACTAGGTGGTTTTGGTCTAGCCACAAGTGGTGGTAGATTCCATCATCATTGCAAATTGCGGGGGTTACCTCATGAAACCCAACGAGGTAATCTGGATACAACTGGGCCAGCACGTGTTTCAAACCAAAGGATGGTTGGTTGTACCATTCACACTCATGAACATTGTAACGGAGCCAGTTGGTATTGTCAGTCCAATCGTCTCCATTGGTTGCAAAATAAATGGCTGCGAGAGTGAACCGTTGCTTGATGCGGTCATCAGTGAGGAAAGGAAGGTTTCTGTCACCCATGAGCCAATAGTAGGCCTGGGATTGTGGAGAATTTGTGTCTTCAAGTGCCAACTGTGTCCCCTCCGGCAACAGTGAGACTAGGTGATGAGCACCACCAGTTACAGATGATGGAGCCTGGGATGGACTGCCAGTTGTTCCTCTCAGCATAGTCATTGGAGCCGACAGAGTACCCTTGTAATTTGAGTCTTCCTTTTGCGACACCATAACTGTCACGGAAACAGCACTGATAACGAGGAGAACAAAAAGGCATGCCCCCACAATAATGTGTTTCCTTTGTTGCTCTGTTTGTTGAGTTTCATGTCTGTTTCTACCCTCCAAATCCAAGGCTTGAGCCTGGGGTAGCAATTCTGGGTGGCTACTTGCTTCATCTACCGGATTTGCTACTGAGAGCACTGACTCCAAACCCTGTGGTGCTGTCACACCAGTTGTGGGCCTTGGTGACTGGCTATCCATAGAGGGTCTTTGTTGAGGTCCGACTTCTGGGCGTGCTTGTCTTGATCGCAATTGTTCTTGTCCGACTCCGCTCAATGGAGGTCCACCCACTGCGAACGCCCCAGGGGTACTCTGTTGTTGCAAAGCTGCTTGAGGGTACAGCTCTGTCAGTGGCAGCGGTTCAGGTTTGGCACCCATAATCTCGTCATCTGATTGGATTTCGGTTGTTGCTGGATGCATGCTAGTCTCTAATCCCTCACGCCAGGTTTGAACCAAATGTGATTTTCCATTGACTGCATCAGTCTTTGAGGGCCCATCGGCAGAAGGAGGAACATCGTCAGTCTCACACGCCACGCTCTTAGCAGCTAAATCATTATACGTGTCCCCTTGGTCTAGTTCCAGGTTGCTATGTAGAGCAGCCGCCCCTTGTTCTGCTTTCTCCTTTGCTGCTTTGGGTTCGAGCTCTGGCTCATCTCCACGCTCTCGCCCCGCATTAGTTTGACACGAGGATGCGACGGCCTCCTCCACCTTCTCAATGTCCGCGTCCTCTTGCCCAGAGCTTCCGAGATCGAGATTTGCTGCCTTCGGGTTGCATTCGCCCTGTTTTTTTGTTTCGAAATTTTTTTCCATGGTCGTTAGGCTTTCGTTGCCAAGTTGTCAACAGTGAGGAATCTTTGCTATCATCGAGCCTATTGGAAAGGAGGGAGGCAATATCTCTCTACTAGATAGGTATGTTGACCAACAACCTTCTAGCGATTGCAACAAAGATCCGCACACAGCTCACACAGCCACTCTCACACACCACTTGGTTTGCAAAGCTTCGGTACCGATACGTGCAGTAGTAACACGTGAACTAAAAAATCGAGTGATGTGTTTGCCTTTTAAAATTTCTTCTTCAAGTAAGTTTGCTCCTTCTCTGGAGTTGCCGAAAGCTAGAAAGGGCTTTGCTACTGGCGGCAAGCAATCCATAATTGCCTCAGTTACCGTGGTTTACCATGTCATCTGAGCTGTCATCTGTGTCATCCGTTCGGAGTTTTACTCACCGTTGCGAATGATCAATCTCGATCGTATTGAAGTCGAATCAGTCGAATGATTCGATTCGATTCGATTCAAAAGACCTGGTAATAGTACCCGTATCCCTCTAGCTAGCTAGTAGAGTAGTCTAGCTAGCTAGACTAGCTAGAGTCTACAAGCTAGCTAGCTAGCTCTATTTTCAGTGATAACCATTCGTTGATCGAGCAGGTGTGAGCCCTCTTGGAGTGAGGAGAGCGCCCGGGTAGAATGGGAGACGACAACGTTAGATAGCAGAGCTGTGAAGATTTCAAAGGGAGTGACAGTCGGGAAGTCGGGTATTCAATGGAGTTTTGTCAGCATCATAGCTCCGCACTGTTTCGGCTTGCAGTACTCGTACCAGTAGCGTAGGGTACGGTACCGACTGCGGGCAGGTCTATTGAACGATCAATCGATTACCAGGTATAGATTGACCACATTTTACATCTCCGTCCAAAGATTGATGCTGGTATCTTTATTCTTGAGAATCAAATCGTTTGATTGAGCTCACAAGACCACACGATAAATGGCCAAAAGAGTACCGGTACTCTACCTCATGCAGCCAACAGCCCATTCTACTATAAGTGTACCTGCTTCCAACAGAGGCCAGCTACTAGCCAGCCACTGATTCTACTGTACATGCTATGTACAGTTTCAATGCCTGCTCTTTCAACCGTTCGGTATCTGGTACTGCATCCATGGCATGGTACGTCGGTTGACACCACCTATCCCAAACCTTGGATCCCGGCAGATGGTAACTAAGAGAGCCAGCCGAGCTCCTAAATGTGGATTTGAATTCCTTGGCTTCTTTTTGCCCCAAAGTGAAAAGCATTCCACAATTGACAGGCTCCCACCGTGGATTTGGTCGCGATGTGACGGTCAGACCCTCAATGACTGGTATCCTGCGGGTAGCTTTTATACTCAATGAAGGATAGTGCGTCACACACTCCAGCATTTTTAATAATACGTAACGGTTGTATACTGGCAAATCGCCCGCACAGCCTCTGGTGCCTTCACTTCTTCCGCAGAGCGCATTGGGCCTCTCCATGGCTCGGCTGTCATCTCCACCACATGGAGCAATCAAGTAATTTGTTGGTGTTTGTTTTAGTTGTCGTCTAGCAAACTATCTTTATTAGTGTATTTGTAGTGGATTGACCCCAATCTGCGCCGCTACAAGCACATCTCTGCCAATCCTCAAGCTGGAGGAAGAGTGAATGGCGAGTGTCACAATATTGGTGCGGTGGCTTGAGATTTTTCTGCGCCAAGAGTTTGTACTGGATCAGCGTAGATTTCTACGAGCTGGCTAAAAATATTTTGCTCGGAGAAGGACTGTTGACAACTTCGACTACTAGTAGTACACTCCACCTCTCCTCTCCCACTTGGACTATTGGTAGGGTAGTATCACTGTTGGCAACACTTTCATGAAACTAAAAAGAGACGAACAATGACAAGTTTAGCAGCAGCAGCAGCACCAAGTGGACCTCCGCCCATACCACCGTCACCACACAACGCCAGTGCAATGACGACGACGAGTCGACCGCCACCTCCTTCCGTGTCTTCCCCCAATTCTCGGCTCTCCTCCTATCTCAAAATGACGGCACAAGATGTCGATCGAATGACAGAGGCGAGTCGAGCATTACAAGCTAGTTTGCTACAAGTCCCCATTCCGGATCATCTACAAACACCACAAGACAATGACGCTGACAATCGCTGCCACACGCACTTGGACGCCACCAGTGAGTCGGTGCACAAACTCATTGACCAAAAGGGAGGAGCACTGGGTCTTCACAGCATGCTAGTAACAGCATCACAACAATGCCAGAATTCCATTGTAGAGTCCTTTCTCTCTCGCATGATGGCATCGGGGCTGACGGAAGCAGAAGCCAAGGCGGGTCTAGTCATCTTTCATGAAATGGACAAGAGCTCCAAACTAAAGCTATTTTTTGAAATACTGGCGGCCTCTCGGGACACGGAGTCTGCAGAGTCTGCTGCCAATACTACAACAGAGGATGACACTACCACAATGGACACTACTACTAGTGCTAGTGATGCCAAACCTCCACAACAATACCCACCAGATGATCACAGCAAAGAAAACGCATTGCCCAACAACAATGACGCACCAGCCGCCAAGGGCACACCCGACAAGCGGGCCATCAGTATACCTCGCCTCGATCGAGATGGGGCCACCAGTCTCTTTCTGACCATCCTGACGGCAATATCCTGCTGTGTCCACAGCAAGGAGGACGATGACACGGCTCTGAAACCAGTAGTCACGCAAGATGAAGACATTTCCAGCAAGGATTCCTTTGATAATCCACCCAAGGAAATGACCAAGACGGGAGAAACTGAATTGGACGGCACCCCCAAGGCACCGCCGCTGCCCACGCATCATCATCATCATCCTGTCGTTGTGGGCCTATCCGAACAGCTCCAGAAAGAAATCGGACAACAGGCCAGGGAAGCCTCCAATCAACTGATCGAGTTCACATCCAAACAACAACAAAAGCTGCAAATGTCCTTTGACAATTTTGGGGAATGGTACAATTGCGGTGGTTGTACGGTAGTTCCCTGGCTGGAACTACTTCATCTTTCCAAGTGGAGGATAAATAATAACAATAACAACCATGCAGCAGCAGCACAAGTGGTCCCACCACCGTCCGCATTGGCTTTGTCTCGAAAGTTCCCTCCCAAGTCCTCCAAAAAACCATACGGATCTCTCTCGTCGATGCTCCGGGAAGATGAAGAAGCCATGCAGCGCATGACGAATGGATCCAGTGCGGCACATCATCAGTACCCTCATTCCCGAACCGTGGTGACATTTGACTTTTCGGCGTCGGTGGACAGTGGTGCCGCGACGTGTGCGCAACCCTTGTGCATCAGCATTTCCGAAGAAAGCCTGACTGTGTTGCGATCGCTCGTGTACAAGTCGGGTCTCATTTACAGATCCGCCGCAGAAGTCTGCAAAACCATTATGCGCTCGGCTCACAAACGCTTGTGGGACGGTCGGCCGTTGGTTACATTGCGTCGAGATGATTTCCGCCAGATTGTCCGGTCGTTGCTGACGCCTCAAAGATCGGCCAATCGGACTCCGTCACACTTTTCCGCGTCGGACGCGGAGAACTTTGGAATGGTCTTGGAAGACTTTTTTGCGTGCTACGAGGGGAACTTTCATCAGTCGACGACGAGCTATCATCCACTCAGTCATGATGAGGTCAATGCCAAAGAGTTGGCGGTTGGCTTCTGTTTGCTTTGTGCTGGAAACAAGTCTACCAAGCTAGCGACTGGTTTTGAGCTGCTCGACGATGCAAGAGTGGGGTTCTTGACACAGCAGCAGCTCATGCGATTCTTGCGAGCCTATCTTACAATGATGGTCGGGACGTCTCTTTTGAGGGAGAGCCATGCACGCAAGAGGACACCGCTGCAACATGACCGCAAGGAAGAAATGAGAGCTGCAGTGGAAAATGGTGCACTCTGGACACTTCGCCACTTTCTCAAAAAGACACGAGAGAAACATCCCGAGGCCCACGTCAAGGACGCCTACACATTTGGGCTCTTTGCGGAGTGGTACAGTCAAGGTGGATACAACGTGGCGCCGTGGTTGGAGCTGCTGGATCTCAACAAGATGGTCTCTCTGCTTGGAGAACCAGGAAGCTTCTCTGCCATGCCACAGACCCAGCAACGTCCCAACAGTCATTCCTCCGTTCGGGAGTGCAGGTCGTCGCATCGTCGTCAGCATCACAACCGCACGGCGGCACCACCCGTGCAAGTACTGTTTACGTTTCCATTGGCGAACCAACGCTCTTTGATTGTCCTCCGCGAAGACGCGGTCTATGTACGGGGTGTAGTGGAACAGCTGGGTGTTCTGTCACTCTCCGCTCCTGATATTTGGAGCACACTGATCAACGAGGTCAAGAAACGGCCAGAGCTGACTAGGGGAATAAAGCCAAGGCCAAAGAAGGGCTCCGAGCCCGAGAAAAACACTCTGATTGACTCAAGAAGCTTTGTGGAAATGATGGAAGTGGTCCTGCAGTCTGCAGTTGGTTCCAGTCGCAAGAGGGCAGCGACAGGAACTTCCAAGCTTTCATCATCAGTCCAAGAGCTTCTTTCGAATCTCTTCCACAGCTATGACTTGAAGCAAACGAACATGGTCGCTTTGAATGAACTCATGGGTGGCCTTGCGCTGCTGTGCGGTGGGAAGAAGAGCACCAAACTGGCGTTTGCCTTTGGTGTTTTCGATGGACGACAAAAGCCCAAGGCTCGCAAGGTCAAAAACCACAAACCGTCGCTCAAGGATCAGTCACTGGATACACGCGAGTTGTACCTGTTTCTTCGGTCCTTTTTGATTGTGCTTTTCTCGTGTTGCTGTCAAACCTTGGAAATGGCGGATAACTCGGTCGATCGCTACATTGGCGACACGGCCAATATGGTTGCCGATGACGTCATGCGCTACCAGTGGCACACCAGAAAGAAGGATCGCATCGACTTTGACGAGTTTGGGGAATGGTACAACGAAGGTGGTTTTGAAATCGCTCCTTGGCTGGAGTTGCTCGATCTGAAGAAATGGGTACTCGTCGACAATTTTGACGCCTTGGACAATCAAGCCTCTGCACCATCCACGGCATCCGCTGACGCGGCGAGATCGCTCTCTCCAAAGCGTGCCGTCGAATCCAAGCAGTCTCCAACGTGCCCTCCGCCTCCACCGGAAGATGTGCTTGACCCGTCGTTCTTTGAAAGTGATGATATCATGCAGATGGACAGTATCGATGAGATGGATATCATGCTGATGCCGTCCCACGACAAAGATGGTGATTTGCTTCCCGTCAGCAAGTTCACGTACTCTCCGTCGCAGGATCGGATCTTGGAACAGCACCAGTCTGCGGGTGATGATACGCAACGCCAACCTTTGAAGTTCCACCTGCTATCGGAAGAGGACGAGAAGGGCGGCTTTATGCTGTCCATCAGTCAAAGACGAATCCGCCATTTCCGACAGGTTATGATGGACAGCGGTCTTCCAGATGTTTCTACCGAGACCGTCTGCGCGGCCATACTGAGTCACGCCTCTCCGAAGGATGCCAAGGCCAAGAATGCATCTCAGTGCATTACCAAGGATGACTTTGATGCCGCTGTACACGAAATCTTGGGTATCAAGGATCAGAGGGCCGGCGCCGAAGACCACAGTTGTCTGTTGGAAGTGCTTTCCTTCATCTTTTCCGGGTTTGATCCAGAGGAATCTGGCAAAGCCGATGCATTCCAAGTAGCCTGTGGCTTCACGGTCCTTTGTCGTGGCAAGAAGAGCGACAAGCTGGAATACGCTTTTGACGTGCTGGATAAGGATAAGAAGGGTGAACTCACCAGGATGGACATGTTGAACTATATGCGGTCGTTCTTGACTGTCCTATTGGGTATTGGTTGTTCCCCATCCTTGGAGACGGACGAGGTGGAAGACTCCTTGACGAGTATGAGTGGGGATGAGACATGTGATCGCTCTGTTTCTTCGGTTGTGAAAGCGGTTGATGCCGGAGCCAACTGGGCAGTCTCCCAAGCCTTCAAGCGACGAGAGGGGCTTGGGGATACATTATCCTTTGACGACTTTGCCGCTTGGTATACAGATGAAGGACATCTCAGCATACCTTGGGTTGAGTTGCTTTCATTGCGGAAATGGCTACTCTGAGAATCGAATCATTCAATCATCACACCACATCATAGAGATACTTCGGTTTTGCCATTTCTTGTCCATGTCGATCGTGCTGTCTTGTTGGTCCATCCCACAGTACTGTTAGCTGTAATCTACTATCTTCCTATCCTAGAGGCTCAACTATAAACGTAAAATCATTACTACAACTAACTTTGTATCTATCCGGTGTCAGTGCGTTGCTTGAGGTGCTTCCCCAGCTTGTAGCCAACCTGTCATTGGTCTGTCCAGCCAAGTAGCTGCTACCAGGTACCGTAGCTAGATAGATCAAGAGCCAAGGTTCAAAGTGCACTTTCACTAAGCAAAGACGTGCATTCGTACATGTAGACCCAGTCTAATGAAGGAGTGGGAAGGATCTAGCTAGCTAGATAGCCACAGCTAAGCACTGTAGACTGTAGATCATGCATCACACCTGCAAGATTGAGGGATTTACAAAACAGTATGAAGCAAGAGGCAATTCGGATTGGGAGAGACCATGTCCAGATACGGTAGATACGGACTTTCACTTCTACATTTACCATCTTCAAGCAGCTCCAACCGCTTGCGTGAAATTTGCCTCGCCGTTTCAACAAACCGTTGGCATCCATGACTTGGCTTTTGGCCATTTATGACCGGGCTATCTAAGATTCAAGAAGGGAAGGAGTCTTCTTTCGCCCTCCCGCCGTCGGCTGTTTGTTGTTGTTATCTTGAGCTTGCTTGCAGCACCAGCAGCAGCAGCACATCATTCAAGTAACCAGGCTTGACCAGGGCTACCAGGTAGACCCCAACAATACATTGCATTGATCAATCCCATTCCACTAAGGAGACCTCAGCCGCAGCCTACCTCTTGCTTGGCAACTGTAAGTGAGACGCTTCTCAAGTTCGTACGATCGGCAGCCCAGAAGACTTTTTCTCAGAACCACATAGAAGCCACACGACAAGCCAGGCTACGGGACTACAACGTCCAGCAGAGCAACGCAACAACTCTTACTACTTACCACGCAACAACAACACAACAACAACACAACCAAGACGACCGCTGTCTGAAGTAGTGACTGATAGATTGGCAGAATACGAAACATGGGGAAAATGAGGCGTCTCTTCAAGAATGTCAAGGAGGGCTTCAAGGTCAGCCGAAAGTCGTTTGTCCTGCAGCACGACAAGAACGAGAAGTTCAAGGACCACTACTCACTGAAAGAGCAGCTAGGCAGTGGTAACTACGGAACAGTCCATGCGTGTATGCATCTGGACTCGAAAGACATTCGCGCCGTCAAGATTCTCAAAAAGGAAAAGATCCAGGACGACTCCTTTCGTAACGAAATCGACACGCTCAAGGAACTCGATCACCCCAACATTCTGAAAATCTTCGAGTCCTTTGAAGACGACAAGAACTACTACGTCGTGACAGAGTTCTGCGATGGCGGAGAACTCTTTGAGGAGATTATCGAGTGGGGGAAATTCACCGAGGAAGACGCGGCCGTCCTCATGAAGCAGATCTTGACCTGCGTCAACTACTGCCACAAGCGCAACTTTGTCCACCGCGATCTCAAGCCGGAGAACATCCTTTTGGAGAAAGACAAGGGATTCGACTGTCTCAAAATCTGTGACTTTGGAACTGCCAAAATCTTTGACGAAGATGCCGGAAGTGCCAAAGCAAGGCTAAAAGATTCCGTTGGAAGTCCCTACTATATCGCTCCAGAGGTCCTGGCTGGCAGCTACGGAGCCAAGTGCGATGTGTGGAGTTGTGGAGTCATTGCCTACATTGTACTCTCTGGAGTTCCGCCCTTTAATGGATTCTCCGATGAGGAAATCTACGACAGAATCATGGAGGGGAAGTACAACTTTGATGGAGATGAATGGAGTGACATCTCGGACGAGGCTGTCGATTTCATTAGCAGTCTGCTCACCTACGAGGAACAGGATCGTCCGTCCGCTTCCGAAGCCCTGACGCACAAGTGGTTGGATGCTGCAAAGATGGAACTGACAGAGAGTTACACCAAGAAGGAAGCCGTCACCAGTTTGGTACGTGTCTGCAGTGTGTTTTGGCTTCTCTAGAGATCTGCAATGGATAGATAGCCTCTATTGTATCGTCTCACATTCTCGCTTGTTCCTCTTTTTCTTTCTCCTCTTTCCATGGCACAATTCTTGGCTTGACTTGCTCTGTTTGTTTGATAGTCAAACTTGGCAAGCTTCAATGCCCAACAAAAGCTCAAGCAAGCGACATACACATTCATCGTCTCACAGCTACTCACAAAACAAGAAAAAGAAAAGATCGATTCCATCTTTCGTGCCATGGATGTCGACTCGGACGGAAAACTATCAAAAGACGAAATCAAGATGGGATACAAAGAGCACTTTGGCAAGAGCTTGGATGATGACGAAATTGATACCATCTTTAGTCGAGTCGACTCCGATATGAGTGGTGAAATTGACTACTCCGAATTCGTCATGGCCACCATGAACCAACGGAATCTAGCCTCCCAGAATCGTCTGGAAAGTGCCTTTAGGGCATTTGATAGAGACGGCAATGGACAAATATCACCGGAAGAAGTAAGGATTATCCTTAGTGCTGGTCAATCGGGAGGAATAGACGAAAAGACAGTGGCAAAGATTATTGCCGATGTCGACCGCGATGGTGATGGCCAAGTGTCCTTTTCAGAGTTTTGCGATATGATGTCCAAGAATATAATATGAGCGATTGGGCAGCTGCTGCTGTTGTCGGTAACCCGCGCACACGCAAGTGCCCACCGACAAGCGGTTGTTCAAAACGAAGATTTCATTCGTCTTGCTCTTGCCTGCAAAAAAAGCCAAAAAGAAAATAGGAGGCGAAGGAGATGGAAAAGAAAATACAAGACTCTGTGGTTGGATGGTCAGTTGGGATTGGATTTGAGCTGTGGTTACACGCATCAGGAATGGATGATGAACACTCAGTTGTTGGAGGAACGTTAAAAGCTGCCTGCTGCAACACTTTTACATTGGTTGGTTGGGACAACGATGAATCGAGTAGTAGTGGGCTTATTGCCATTCGTGGTGCAAAGTAATGAGTACTTTTGTTTAATAGTTGTGTTGTTGGATGTGTGTTTGTGCGACAGAACTTTGATTCGATTCGTTAGTTTGCCAGCACGACAATTGGATTGTTTGGAGTAGCTAGCTTTTGTGCCTTCTTTGGTCTTCCTAAGCATGGGCTCAAAGGTGGCAGGAGCAGTTTTTCCCATATTGGACGGGGAGTGCCCTGGGTAGTTTCAGACCGTCGGTAGGACCTGGATAAGGACCGATGCATCGATGGAAATGGAGGTGGACCCCAATCGGTACAGCTGTGGCTCCTGGTGTTCATCCACGCGTCCCTTGGGCTCGACGGGCACCGCACCGCTAGTAGAGGTTTTGTCAGGAGCGACTAGTTCCATGTCGCTTGCTAGGACTTGTGCCTGGTGTATATGTTGTCCTTGAGTAGGCCCAAACAAAGGTGTGCTCAGGAGTTGGTCCGTGCCATACCAGTTCCGATGCCACTTCCGATGCTGGTTGTGGCTTGGACAAGCAGGGGTGCATGAAGTTACCCAAGCGACGGAGTGCTGGGGCTGTTCGATCTCGTTTGCGGAACCATTCTTTGCAAGACATGCATAAGGGAGGCGGGGAAATAATGATATAAGCCAATCTACTAGTAAGGGTAATACGAGTTTACCCCACCTTGTACGGCTGAACCAGCCAACACTTTTCCATCCGACCCCAAAGGATCTCGCGATCGTCGCTTCTCCGCACGAACAGAACCGACACCCCCAATCCTTCCGTCAAAAAGTCGGGCGCCTTCAACACAGCAGCTTACAAAACAAATGAGACAAATCCCTCTGCCTTCCATTTGAACTTACAGTCGTACTACAAGCAGATAGTTTTAATAGTAACGGTACCATGAAGCAATTCGACGACAACGCCATTCGTCGGCGCGAGTTGTTCGTTCTGACCATACCTTCATTTGGCGTGGACAACGAGATCCATGTGATGATACGCAGTGCGCCACCGCTTTGGTCAAAGTGGATGGACGCGGCGGCAGATTTCAAAGAGAAGAAGAGATTGGCTCAGAGGAGGAGACTCAAAGGCCTTAAAGATTGTGGAGCTGTCACCGAGCAACGATCCAAAGATAGCACTGTTTGCAGCCAGCCCGGATCCACCAACACCGCCACAACTGCATGTTCTTCAGGAGCCTTTCTCGCCAGGCCGTCTATCATTTTTGACAACCAAGCTACAGGAGGTCTCGAAGGCGATCTTGTTGGCTTCAGCATTATTGCAAAGCCAGGAGGTCTGGACGAAATAGTTGAGTTATCAGAGCAAAGTGAGAGAGAGATAAAGGAAAGGCTCTCCCCACGTCCTGGAATGATGTTGTATACATGCAGGTGAGCAACTCGTGTGTCAGGCCCATCACAACGGCATCTTGTTGGCCCGCTAAAGTATCGCCATTTCCTGTATCTCTTAGTATGACAATGAAGGCACTTTGGAAGGCTATGTGATGGCAGGATCTCGCGTGGACTACAGCAATGAGCTTGGCGAACCTGTTTCAGATGCCTATGCCATCTCCTCAACGGATCGAAAGGTTGTGGACACCGTTCAAGTCGGGTAAGTGAACGGCATATGTGTGAATCTGAAACATTGCGTCTTCAAATCAAGCCAACTCTTACGGTTCTCTGTTGTCCTGCCTTTATCTGACCGTAGACCCCGCGGTGTTCACACGTACGCCGTTTGGACGCAGGACGAGTTTTGGTCTCACTCGGATGGAGACGGACACTTCTATGTTGTGCGCCTTTCAGATTTGTCAAAACACACCCACAAGGTCTCTGCCAAGTCAGAGGTGCCGGCCCATGGAAATTCAGACCTCTCATCTTGGGACGAAGACTCATAGCTGAAGGAGACTGGACTAAGCATATCACCAGCGGATTTTCGCCACACCCAGCACTGCGCAGAACAGCTTGTCCTCTATATTGATTGCGACATTGCACTATAGCCAAGGACAACCACTTACAATGTGAACGACATAGACTACTCAAGTGAAGATTTGATCCCTGGCTCTGGTTGCCGTGGTCTTCATGCTATCGCGTACAGCGCCATCAACCAGCACCTGTACACTGAATGCTCTGGAGGTGGAGGTGTTCTTGAATTTGATGTATCCAATGGCGCCATTGCCTTTGTCCACCAGCACATTGCAACAATCACCATTGCCACTAGAGGACGCCGGTGCGACATTACCACGTATCGAACCGTCCGCACGGAACGAGATCATTAAGAACTTCTCGCTCTCTCCGCGCGTTCTAGTATCTATCAAGGTTGTGACTGAGATCGCGCTTCATGTCTTTAGTCCCAGTGGAAGTGGAAGCAAAAGCAGCATCGAAACAGAAATCCAGGTGCCAGGGCACCCCTCCACTGTATCCTTTTTGAGCAACGGCAACGCAGGGGCTGGTGACTACATTGCATGTTCGCCCCTGACGGAGAACCTCAACCAAAAGCATCGAAAGGACGGAGAACTCGTTTGCGACTACTATGTCGGGTGTACTGGCGCGACCACGTAAGTCCTCGTTGTCTTGGAGGTAAATTCCACTTTGTCGTCAGCTTAATCATTCTCTGGCTTCATTGGACTTCATCCTCAGTGCCGAGGATGTGGAGCACGGCATCTGTCTGCATGATGATGGAGGCATGTTATTGAAAAAAGTCACCGAAGCTCTTACGGCGGATGACAGCCCTGCCTGTTCCCGCTGCGCCGACAGTGCCAACTTTGATGATGACGGGGCATGTGTCTGCACTCCAAGCTGCGGATCTTGTGATCCCGCTCCTACCTATGATGACAGCAGCAGTGGATATATGTGTGTGGATTTGGGTGCAGCCATTGCGGGTACTGTCACCGAGGCGACGCTTATTCCGAACACTGGAGGTATGAAGCAAGGCAAACCCTATGGCGGTTCTGCTGATTGCTCCTTCGGTCGCACCTACCGTACACACAAGAGAGGCGGTATCTATGACGCTTCTGTAGCCAGTGCACCTGAAAACTCCATCCATATCATCAACATGCAAACTCGAAGCAAGCAGTGTGAAGTGGCTTTGCCAGGGCAGCCCAGTAAGGTGACTTATGCTCCATTGCAACCTACCAAATTGGACGCACAAGAAGGATCCTCCATGAAAGCGTCATCTGCAAAGAGGGCCCACTTGTTTTTCATGAGCTGGATGATGGTCACGGTAGGCTCCATGGTCTTCACGTGGGCTACTTGGTAGACCGACGGGAGTATTGTTGGAAGCAGGAGCCTGTTCAACGTTAGCATTAGGAAACGCAATCATGATAGGCAAACGTGAATGTGATTGAATCTTCAATCCGTATGAAGAAACTAGTCAGAGAATCAGGAGAGGAGCATTTGGGCTGATAGAGCTCACTTCCTAGTACATGTATGTAGCCAAGACATCCAAATAAACAGTGTGGTTTCTTTCTTATGCACCGTACAGTCTCTAGCTGGCAGCTAGATGTTATGGATTGCTCTAGCTAGCGAATGGCTCCAGTACCTCCGTAGTCCTATGTTGAATCACTGAGTAAGCAAGTATTCTGCGGAAGTCTTAAAGTAAATGTAAAAGTACATGGACCGTGCCTTGTGCTAGCTAGGGGCGATCGTGTAGATGGATACTCGTAACAGTTTGGTTGCCAACTTGAAATGTTCACGAAATGGCTGCCGATGGAATTTTCCTCGACCAACCACACAACAGAGACGTGGGGTAGGAGATAGCCATTTGGCAAGGCAACGAAATGGAGATGAAGAAAGTGCAGGAATGTTTCCAACCTGAGGGTGTGCCTTGATTGAATATCAATGATGATCGGGCGATAATAATACCAGAACTCCTCAAAGAAGTTGCGAAATGGGAGTTCATCTTCGTCCTTGATGGCTTTCTTGTTCGGAGTCGCCAAGCTGCCGGTTCCACTTCCAAAGAGGCTTGCCGCCGCTGCTGCCGCCTTGAACTGCCTCTGGAGCTCGATTTCTGAATAGCCATCATCAGAAACAGAGCTACTTGACGAAGAGCGGCGGCTAAAGCAGAAGGAACGTTCTTCATCCACTACCAACGGATTGAGGTCGTACTCGTCGAGGAAACTTTCCAGTCTTGACATTCCAGTTCGAAAGGCTGCATCCAGTCGTTCCGTCAAGTCTTCAAGTCATCAACAAACGCCTCTTCAATGGCCAAGTACGTGTGACAGCCACCTCTTCTTTCTCTTCCAGCTCATCCACATTGGAATCGTCGTCCGTGGAATCGACAGTGAGCT